CACAAAGCCAGGTTCTGAAAAGACTTTTCAAAGTATCATGGTACATTAGAACGAATGACATCCTCAGGGACTTCAAGATTGATCCGATCAAGAAATACATAAAGGATGGAGCCCTGAAATTATTTGCGAAAACTGACAGACTTACTAACACCGCGTTATCAAATCTCAGAATGTTTACAGGCTCCCCGGGGAGGTATGCAGATCTGAGATCAATTATTGCTTAGTCTGATGAAGTGATAAACAATAATTTAGTCAAGGCGTAAGGAGGGTTTTTAAAAATACCTCGAGTTAAGAAGGAGTAAAAGTGCTCAAGTGCACTGGCTCAAATAGAAATTAGTAAATAATATATTTTATTTTATTTTATTTTATTTTATTTTTTTTTAACATTTAATTTGAAACATGAATCGAGTTTCTAACTTTCTAATGTTGTAAATTTTTGATGACTCATAAACCGATCGATCTTTGTTTACTTTACTTATTCTAACACTTTTAAAATTAATTTCTACTTAATTTTCAATCAATGTTAATTAAAAAAGTAAAATTACAAATACTTAGGCAGAATTGCATCACATTCGACTTGATCAAGTGATATGCAGATATCGTTTTTATCGCTTAAATGAAAGGTAAAGTGACGACGTCACTGGTGCAATAATGGCCTTTGCTTCCAGCTAAGCAATCCGTAAAAGCAAAATTACTTTCATTTTCACTTTTGCAGTATTGTGGATAGTTGCGGTTTTACTGCGGCTGACCACGTAAAAATCGCATTGCACATACGACTTTTCACTGTAATTGTGCATATATGCACGATATTTACTAGTTTCAGCAGCAAAAACGGCATCGCAGCAACTGAAAACCGCAAACACCACACCACACCGTATCGCTGATGCCGATTGCCGATGTACTAGCAACAGTTGCAGTCAAGAAATGGGTTAAACGAAAGCAAAAGTGATTTCGAAAATTTAACTAAATTATTTCTCTTCACAGCCACTTTTCTTTGCCAACCAAAACAGAGAAAAAAAATCCAATCAAAAGGTACAAAAATTTGAAAATTTAAAAATTGTAATAAATAATAAATTGCGTTCAATCAACCCAAGAAACGTCAAGAAACTACTACAGATACGGTACATTGCTTTCAAGTATCTTAGATTTTTTTACGCTGAAATAGATAAGATACTTTCCAGCAGACAAAAGAAAGTAAAACAATACATTACTTCCATAAACAAACCATAATATTGCCCTTTTGACATTGTTTTTACTTCCTACTAAAGATTATTATTACTACTCAACTTCTTAAGTATCTAGATACATTATTACGGAGCAGTCCGATAACAACGAAACATTAGTCAAAGCATGCCAAATCAAGTGTAATTACAATAAAAACAAGAAGAAACAATGAAAAGTGTAATAAACATTAAACGTTAAAGATACTTGCGACGGGGCACTTGTCTAGATACGTTTTCGTTTTCGTTTTCACAATGACTTTACATTATCGCACTCTGCTCTGAATTAAAATTTATTTAATGTTAGAGATACTTTCATAACGAAAGTGAAATTATGACAAAATATTTTATTAAACACGATTTTTAACTGATTTGGGAATTGAAAGTTATTGCTACTTCAGTATAAGTCATTGAGACTTTAACATATGTTTTAATTAAGAAATGCGAAACCAGATACATGGTAAAAAGTATCTGACTCCAAATAAAATTTAAATGATTAATTTTTGTTAATGAAATCACTTGAGTGTGGTTTGTAATGTGTCATTGCAATGTTATTGTAAACACGTCATGTTGTTGCTATCGTAACCAGCGTTTTGGCCTAGTCTTCATCCGAAAGTGTGCTTGGTTTGTTTTTGTTGAAAATAGAGAAATTCCAAAGACAGTAATAAATCACAGTTGACAAGTAGATCCAGAACATCAAACCGGAGGCTTCTGGAGCATTCGAGTACAGTGTACATTCCAGTGCAGTTCTTAGCATCAGTAATAGGAAAGTTTATATATAAAAGTAGCAAAGCTGTGATAGCAAACCTAAAGCACTATAAATAATAAACTATATACTATATAGTGTATTATATATGTAAAATACTATATATGTTTCCTTACTGCAGATATGAGTCTACAGGCGTCTGAATGCCATCTGGCCACTTTCCACTAAGAGGAAATCCAATATTCTCGCTCAGATACCCCGTAGAGATATTAGTCTTATGATAGGTTTACTTACAGATCAGAGAGAACTATGACAAGAGAACTATGCTAGAAGATTGAAAGTTCCTTTTAATCATACCTGTCACAGCCGTGGGAAAGACGATGAAAGTACCTCTCATCTACTCTGGTTTTACCCAACTCATGTACGCGGCGACTGAACACTTAAAGAACCACATTTCTTGAAGATCTCAATCAATTACAAAAACTTCTAATAAACCACATTTTAAGCTTCGCCAAAGGTTCTAAATGGTTGTAAATCATGATTTTTCTCTATATACGGTAACACAATGGGAAAATAGGCCTTAGTGAATCCCATAGGGATTGTCGTTATAGTCTAAGCTAACCTACTGTAGATATGTGTGTACCAAATTTTGAATTTAGAAACAGTTATCTAAATTAGAGAAATTTGAAGTTTTAACTATTACTTATTTAAGTCTTAGCTCTTATCCTTTAGTCAGTTTAAGAACACATTACTTCTTCAACATGGAATAGATATTGAAACAGGGCTATGACAGAACAAGAACAAACAAATCTTAAAAATAAAGTAATGATGGTTAGGACACACTTTATGTAAACCCTTCAGTAAAATCGCACATGCCGCTCTAGAATAGAATCTGCAAGGAAGAAGAAATCGCGGTCGACCAAAGACTACATGAAGAAGGATAATCAACAGATAATCGGGCAAATCTTTCACTAAACTAAGAGCTATAGCACGTGATAGAAATATTTTGAAATGTTTTTTCATTTTATAATTAAATTGATTAATTACTTTCAAATCTATTAATTTTAATTAATAAATTAAAATTAAAGTTACAAAAAAATGACGACCTAAATGTGTGCCCGATATAAGATTTTACAATGAAAAGTAGTACCATTTGAAAATTCGACCTCTCATCCACTTAAATGACTATATGTGCTCTACAATCTGACTAGATACTAAGAATTAACATGTTCTTGTACAGGTAATCTTGCTCAAAAATATGAGTTTGAATGTAAGAATCATGCTTTTTTGTTAAGTATGATGAATAATAAATATTTGAGCGAAACTTTTGTGATTGTAGAGGGTTGTAGAGGGCTCTTATATTTAATGTTTCTTCTACTTTTATACTATATACCTATTTCATTTATTTATATTTTATCTCTTGGTCATTGTGTACATATAGCTTAGTGGGGGCTAAGCCCACGGATCCAATAGCTAGATGTGAATATTGGCTGCACGAATTTTCCATTCATTTTTGTACATATATATCATAAATTAACTCTAGTGATAAAACAGACCAATAAAGATAATCGTGTCGCAGTGACAGCTACTTAACCTGTTATTAGTTGTATATAGGTGTCTACATTATATAAAACCACATTTTAAATATATTATATTTATTTAAAATATATATTTTAAATATATATGGTACAAATTACGTAATGGATCTAGCATGTTTCTTCTTAAGTATGAAGAGAGGTTTTTTTCGAAAAACTGCATTCTTTGACTTATACAATACGAAAAAGTATTGGTTCTCGAAAATAGAAAAGTATGGCGTTCTTGGCAACAAAGTATAGTGATAATAATTATGGCGAATGAAATAGAAAAATTTGCAATGACAGCAAGGGCAAATTATTATAGACAAGCTTACAGATGGTTTGAATATGAATTTCGTGGCCAGAATTATTTTATATGATAATACCGTTGAAACACCCAGCCAGATTTTTAAAATTATTTACATCTCATGAGTTTGTATCGCTTAAGAAAGTAATCACAGTTTTTTTTCTAGGTATGTCTTTTTATTTCACAAAAATTTTTTATTAAATAAAAGGGTTTGAAATGAAAAGAAAAGACAAGAACAAAAATTTAGTTAATTTATTGAAATTTCACTAACCATACAACGGCAAATTTTTTATTTGATTAAATATTTTGATTAATATTTAATTGATTAATATTATAATCTAATAAAATAATAAAAAGTTATAATAATAAAAAAAGAATTAATTTTTTTTTTTTGTTAAAATTAATTTCGCCAAATTGAAGGTGTTGAAGTCAATTTTTGTCAAAATCCGCTTATTTGCAAAAGAATGGATCATATACAGATATGATTTATTATTAGAACTAGTTTATATTATTAAAGCATTTATAATCCTTTTTCGTTTTTTTAGGTGTGCCATACCAAAAAGGTTTTGAGATAATAAATCGCATTTATTTGATTTGTGGGCGGATGTCTGTCTCCAAAATTTGTAACTGTAAAATTAATCACTATTAATTTTATATTTTTTTAATACCTATTTCAGTAGTAATATCCTTAATCTCAAATTAATTTTCAAATATGATCATAGCTTGTCTAAAAAGTATTACTCGTTTCAACTGCTCAGGGGGTTTGCCATATATGCAACGTTCAAGGTTAATAGGATTAAATGCGTAATGATGGCGTTTGTCGTGCTGTTAATAGGATTAAAATTTTATCAAATAAAATCGAAAATTTAACAATTGGGGCATTTGAAACCACAATAGATCACAAAATAAAAAAGTAAACATACATGAATTATGTAAGTTTCGAAACATAAAGTGTAAACTTCGCGGCGAAATAAGATTAAAAATCCGGGGTGTTGAGAGAGGAGTGTTGACATTGGCGGTGATTGCTTTAAAGTTTAAACTTTTATCAATCGAATTTGTGGTTTTTAATAAAAAAAAATAATTTTACTTGAGATTTATTTGCATCCGGCAAGGCGTTAAGTGTGCCTGGTACATGCTTAATGCCACGTTGAGATTTATTTTGTACGGAAATTGTCAATCATTCGAAAACTTACCATAAATTTACCAGTTGAGCCGCTTACAGAGATTTTTTCGAAATCTGCAAAAAGAAAATAATTCAAGACATTAACAAGACTGTAAATACGTTAAAAAAGATTGTGATTAAATTTAAATCTAAAAGTAAGAAATATGGAAAAAGCTCAAGGCAACTTGTGTTGAAAGGCATTCCATAGTGAATGCCTCCAAACAATTGAATATTGGGCAGAAATCCATTATTTTGATTGCATGTAAACTAAATTAAAATAAAGCAATTTGCAGTAAAGAAACTATTTGAAGATCGCAAATACGAGCGCCTTCATGTCTAAATAATGAAATGGCAAATGTTAATAAATTGAAGCCAAGACTGACCAAATATTGTACTTGAAGATGCATAAGTAATGCGCGCACCTGTGGCATTTGTGGGTTTTCAGCGCAGAGCGGCAACACCTCCAGTTTTGGAGATATTTCGCAATGCTTTGCTGATTCCATTGTTTTAGTTGTTTTTCGTTCGCAAAGCTACAATTTAAACTGAAATTACGTTTTTGTTTAAATAGCAAAACGCTTGCACTCTTGTGCATTCTTGACTGATGCTTGGGTAATTAGAGCAGAATGAAGCACCGCGGCTGCCCTGAAGTTGGAGTTGCAAAAGTTCATTTTCCTCAGTACCCAACGTCCAAAGCAGCGCTGCTCTGGAGCCGTTGAACTTGTACTCGCATTTTACTTGGAGTCTATTGACTTCTCAATGGCCTGCATTGTAATTATGCCTCATAACTACAAAAGGCTCAAGTGTTTGTAAATTGAATCCGAGTAAAAATACTGCAGGCAGCTGCGGTTACTTATGCAAATAAACCGCTTTATGATCACTAAATTTCATTTAAAGACTTAAACT